GTATTCTATCAGTCAATCTAGGTTTGATAGTACAAGCTCTGCTTAGTTTGAAACTAGATGGCGTTGTGTGTGAGATGTCCGAAAATATAATTACTATCATTAAATTTTTCCAAAAATTTATTTTTTGGTTGTGGAAAGGCCTGTTTTGTGTTTTTTTTTTAAGTTATAAGTAGAGAGTACGTGGGAATTGAACCGACTAAAACACAGTGCTTTGTATTTGGACTTTGTCCCTTTAAATGAAATCCTTATAAAGACTTTATTAGCTACGTTTGTGTTTAAACTTTTAATTGTGAAAACCCTTCTCGACATTCGTAACTTTTCTCTTTTATGTAAGATCTTTCTTAGACGCAGACGAGCGGACGAGTCACCTGATGACTCAGATGGATTTAATGTTTCTCGCATTTTTTTTTCTGTTTACAATTTCTTATAGCTCTTCTGTTAATATGATAAATAATTATATTATTTACTTTGTCTGCTTTCAGTTGACCCGAAATATGCTCCAAGTAAGTGGTTTTTTCTAATCCGTTTGGAGACAGATTAAGAATGCGGAGTGTCACCACCCCTGTTCATCGTAGTGTCGTAAGAGTCGACTAAGGGAGCAAACTACGCAGGACAAAAGCACTGCAAAGTGAAGCAAAATTTGACACAAACCGTGTACCAACCCGTTTGGATAGCGTGGTGTAGTAGGCAAAACCTTCTTTCTAAGGAGAGGCCTATGTCCAGGAGTGGACTATTAGCAGACATGTCACCAGATAGTAAGTGACTACCGCCCATGGATACATGCAACTGAAAAGTCATAAGTGCATTTCTTCCTGAAGAATCTCCCCCAGAATCAGGGGTAGGCTAAAAAGCAAGGATATAAAATTGTTTAGCACCAGTTTTCTATGAAGTCGGGGTTTCACTAGGATCGAGCTGGTTGTTTTTTTTTTTTTACAACAGACAACTCCCGCGTTAGGAATATATCCTGTGTCGCGGGGGACTTTACAAACATACATGAAACGGACACAAAGAACACCCAGACTCAGAACAACAATTTGTGGATCACACAAAGTGTCGTCCCATGTGGAGTTTGAACCCACAACACTCGGCGCAGTAGGAAGCGGCGTGGCGACCGCTTAAACCACTACGCCATCCGTGCAGTTCGTGCAGATTAGTGCTGAAGTATGGCTCTTCCGACTGAGGAATGTAATTTTTTTATTCCTATACAAAACATTTCGAAAGTGAACTATTTTAAATAATACCTTCTCCTAGTCGTAATTAAGGCTACTAAGGATTATCAAGAACTATTAAAGTTTAGTTTTAATTTTCAGCCAGTGGTAAGTCTATCAAAACGTAGCACGGAACGTCTATCATAAACGTAACAGAAATTTCTGATACGATAAGAATTTTCTATACTAATATCTTCAGAAATTTCTATTACGTTTATTAACAAAAATATTTTCAATTACACTATACTTTTTTGACGTGACAACGTCTTATAATTCGATCGAGCCGGCTGCACGCACGAAAAAACATGACTCATGCGGCGTTACCTCGCTCTGAGGCAAAGAGGCAGGTGACAAAGAGGCACAATCGGCCTCCGCGTTCGGCAGCGTTCGACATCTGTCTCTCTCCTACTTGAGTGAGCGATGCGTCCGCGTGGACAGCTGCTACATACAATAATACATTTTTGAAAAATGCAACCATTCCATCAGTATTTTCTTATGACGTTGTCACGTTCAACTATCGTCAGTAAACCGACTTTACAGACAACCGATTTTTTTTTGGCATACGGGACAGACAAGCGGGTAGGTCACCTGATGGGCAAACAAGTCCAGGGTCACCTTTTGAGCCCCTCACCCGATTCAAGTGATGTTTGTGTCCACAAACTCCGTGGAAACTAAGTAAAGAATTGCCTAACATTGATTTTCTGTGAATCACTCAGCCGTGGTATGACTCTGTTGGCACTCCATACGACGGGCCTCTTGGTCTATGTGGTTAGTGCCCCTGACTGCTAAGCTGGAGGTCGAGGGTTCGATTCCCACCCAGGACAATATTGTGTGATGAGCATGATCATTTGTTCTGTGTCTGGGTGTAATTTATCTATAATATGTATGTATTTAAAAATATATTTGGTTTTATCAGCAGTCTGATCACCATAGCACAGGTTCTGCCTAGTTTGGGATCAGACGGCCGTGTGTGAAATGTGTGAGGTATATTATTATTATAGTAAAATAATTTAGATAAGTACAGTCATGAGCCTGTTTACCTCAAAACGAGAGGGTAGTAGTGTAATCTATGTACGTATTAAAAAATGTTAAGTTGGTTTTTGTCCACTTCAAAAACTCAAAAGCTCTGCATTGATTGAGCTGAAATTTGACACGATTTACAATCCCCTAAAGATTGTTTTTTTTCTTCTTTTTCAATGTGCTTGTGATAAAAATGACTAATATTTTATTAGGAAGTATCATTGTCATTTTAAAAAACTCAACAAGTCGAAAAGCATGCACAAGTTTGCGCAAGATGAAAAACTCGACAAGTTAGACTCCATGAACAGCGGTATTTCTAAAAATAACTTTTGAAAATCGGATGAATTGAATGACGTGTGGTGACGGATTAAGAATTCGGATTATCACCACCCCTATTCATCCCGTGGGTGTCGTAAGAGCCGACTTAGGGAGCAAACTACGCAGGACAACAGCACTGCAAAGAGAAGGAAAACTTGAAACAAACTCTATACTAACCCGTCTGTCCAGCGTGGTATAGTAGGCCAAAACCTCCTTTCTAAGAAGAGGCTTTCTATGTCCAGCAGTGGACTGTTATAGGCTGTTGATGTTGATGAATGACTGTGCATATATACTAGATGATAGCCTCGCCTTCTTCCGCGTTAAATATGGTTTTTTTGAAGTAGGAGTAACGACGATTTCAGCATCTTATAAGCCTTAGTTACTCTACCCGCTAAACATTGAATGAAAATCGGATTTTGTCACTAATTACATCGATTTTTATCTGCCAGTAAAATCTTAGTAGAATCGGTATAACCGTTTTGCAGATTAACTGGAAGAAGCATACAGACAGACAGTAAAAAAGTTAAAAAAAATAGTTTTTAGGCACAGGTATTGTGCAAAGAACTGTATAAGCTTAAAAAAACTATTATTTTGACATAACAAACAGACAGTTAAATTTTATTTATTTGTATTGATATACACCTACATATATTTAAGGTCAGTGTTGATAATTATAATGTTTTTCAGATGAAAATAATTCGAACCTAAATTCTGGCGACTCAGAAATGTGCCCAGGTAAGGATTTATAATATTTAAATATTAATACTTAATTATCATTTTGTAAAGGGATTTCTCAAAAAAGAAAAGTCCAATTAAAATAAAACAAAAACATTCGGTAAAAAAAATATTGGTTATACGTGTGGTGACGGATTAAGAATACAGAGTTTCATTACCTTATCCATCTCAAAGGTGTCGTAGGAGCCGACTAATGGAGGAAACTACGCAGGACAACAGCACTGCAAAGAGAAGGAAAACCTTAGTTTAAAGTTTTCCTTTTCTTTGTACCTTTTTTTTTACGTGTGGAAATCCCCTCGGACCGTCACCCCACCGGGGTTTGCGGCGGGGTGGTGTGTCGGACTCGGACCGACTAAAACCACACGGTGTGCCACTCTGCGCCTGTAATAGGAGGGATCCGGGAACAGCTGTTATTAAGACATCCGGACCCCTCCTAGCGCCGGCCCGCTCCCGTTGCGGGCTCCGTCTCAAAATTTTCTTCACTTTAGGCGACGTCCGGCACACGCGGACGCCGCCCCCTCGCGGCTGGCCAAACTAATGGGAAACCCACCCCGTCCACCCGCGGCCACACTCAGGGCGGCATGAGGCGCTGATAAGCGCGCCTCCGCCGCTCGGTTCGCCGGCGTCGGATCGGGTCCGAGTGGAGGTCGTCCTCCGCCGCCTCCTTCTGCGAGATTACTTCCTCGCAGAAGGTTGCGACCGCGTTAAAACAACTGTCGCTACCGGCCATGGAGCGTACTACGGCCGGTAGCGAGAGATCCACTCCGATGACTGCAGTGTCGACTGTCGAACGCCCCGCCCGAAAACCAAATTGGGCGTCCGACAGATCTTCTTTTTGTACCTAAACCAACCCTTCTGGCCAGCGTCGTATAGTAGGCCAAAACCTCAAAAAACTTATTTTTGTTTTATAAATTTATTTTTTGTTTTTTACGATATTTCCAGAGGAGACTCAAAATAAAACTAAGGAATTCGTGCCACCTAAACGAGGAAGGGTGCCCAAACATTATGTTGATGACGAAAAATAGATTTTATAATTGTTTGTGTTTCATTTTTTCTCTTTTCATCTCTAATATTTACTTTTTGAAGAATTTTTAGTAGCAGTTACTTTAAAAGTTATTTTCTATTTAAAATAGCATCAATTGTAGCAATCAATTTTCTCTTCTCTTTCAAAGAGCACTAGGAATATATTCTGTGTCGTGGAGGACTTCACATACACCCATTAAATAGACACAAAGAACATCCAATCTCAGAACAACAATTTATGGATCATACAAATTGTGATCATCCGAACTCACAACAGCGCTGCAGGAAGCGGCGAGTTGACCGCTTAAACCACTACGCCATCTGTGAATCCGTGCAGTCTTTCAATCGAATTGTGGAATCGATGATGATATTGAATATGATGGTTTAGGGCTCCGGGAACCTCAATCACTCATTATAAAAGCCACGACAGAATTGCTTAACTCTAATTATCTGTGAGGCTGTGGCCGAAGCATGAGCATGACCAATCCATACTAATTTTTCCCCATACAAACTTCCACCCCTTACTCACTCTCTCTTAAAGGATGATCCCTGGGATTAAAACTATCCTTGGTCCTTTCCCGGGACTCAAACTATCTCTTTACAAAATTTCATCTTAATCCGTTCAGCGGTTTATGCGTGAAGGTAACAGACAGACACACTTTCGAATTTATAATATTATTATGAATTGGTACTTACTTGTGTTGGACCTTGCGTAGGGGCAGGTGGGATGTATGACGGTCTTGTCGTGGGGGGTGGCCGAGGAGCTGGGGTCGGCTGGAAGGAGAAAAACATAAATTGATTAACGTTTAAGATAATCTTCGTTATTAGTTTCCCATTGATCTTAGTATTCCCTTGAATCTTTGGATAATTCATGGATAGATGTCAAACTAGACAGAGCCTGTACTATTGTAACCATACTGCTTAAACATACATAACAACATAACAACTCCCGCATTAGGAATATATCCTGCCTCGCGGGGGACTTTACAAACATACATAAACATATCACAATTTGGGAATCACACAAAGTGTAGTCGAATGAATGAATTATATATTATTTTGTCGGCACATATGTGGGGATCGAAGCCACAATACATAGCGCTGTAGAAAGCGTTGAGGTGACCGCTTAAACCGCTTCGCCATCTGTGCAGTCGAGATATTATATATTTATATAGAATATATATAGATATAGAACCAATGATCTTGATTATCAAAAAATAATTTACCACGTTTATTATAGAAATAGGTAGTATTTGATGACTTATCCCCGAATTCAATATGACATTTCATAGTATGACTGGATTACTTAAAGGTTGCGGAGAGAATTGTGCAAAGTCTATGTTTGAAGTCGTTTAACTGTTTATTGAGAGCTTGCCGTTAATTGTGTAGACTATCAAAGTTGGCACTATTCGATTGATGTGACCAGTTATATTACATTGTGTAATTGACAATAATGTTTCATGGTAAAACTGTGGGTCGTTTCAAAAGCCGTTAAACTTGAGAACTACGGTCAGTTTTCTGTACAATTTCGAGTTTATAACTACATAAATTGAGATTACAGAGGTGTGTTTCTGTATGTTAAAACACATACTTACGTTTTAAACGATTACATTACAAAGGTGGGTTGGTGTCAGGGCGGTCATTAAAATGAAATGCAATGAAATGAAGGAGTGCTTGAAAGAGAATAGTGTTAAAAGGGAATAGAATAAATAAAACTCATTGCACCGAACCCAAATAAATTTGGGATTGAGTAGGAAGTTGATAATAATGATGACATTTACGAGAAATCACATTTTGTCGACTGTAATTTGAATCAAATAATAGGCAATCAAATATTGTCGTTGTCGGTGTGGTGACGGATTAAGAATACATAGTGTCACCACCCCCTATTTATCTCGTGGGTGTCGTAAGAGGCGACTAAGGGAGTAACCAACACGGACCAACAGCACTGCAGAGAGAAGGATAACTTGACACAAACTCTATACCAACCCGTCTGGCCAGCGTGGTATAGTAGGCCAAAACCTCCTTTCTAAGGAGAGGACGATGTCCAGAAGTGGACTATTAAAGGCTGTTGATGATGATTGTCGTCGTACAGGTATTTCAGGAATTAAATGGGAAAATTGGGTGTTCACTGGTTAGATGGGAAGGCAATAGTAGGAAAAGGATTTGTTTTTATAGAAGAGGGGGCAAACGAGCAGACGGGGCTCTTGATGGAAAGCGACTAGAAGAACGCCTGCAACTCGGGAGTCACAAGCGCGTTGCTGACCTTTGAGGAAGGAGTACGCTCTTTTCTTTAAGATTTGAAGGTCGTATCGGTCCGGAAATACCGCAGACGATAACTTATTCCACAGATTGTTTGTGCGAGACGAAAAGATTGGGCTGTTAGCAATAGTACAAGTGAGTCCGGATCCTAAAGTTGTAACTCTAACTGGCGTGAAGTGGGAGTCATCTGATCAGACAAGAATAATGTCTCTAAATCTGAATCCTAAAGAGATATCAGTTCACCATCATGCGTCAGACAATCCTTAGACAGATAGATAGAGTAGACTGCAAGGGAGTGGCTCTACAACGGGCAAGTATCCCCGCTTCCTTTTAGTGCTGGGTTCGCAACTTACCTTATTTTGGTTCTGGTTGAATGGTATAGATGGTGGTTCGTAGTTGTACCCCTTGTTTGGAGGGAGGTATTCCTGTCCTGCTGACATCGCCATTACGAACAGGGTGGAAGATACGATACTGGAGAGCCACATCTGGAAAGAAAATAAAATGGATGTCAAATCCCTTGACAAGTATATTGAGTTGCTGTTTTGGAACAGTTTGATAGAAACACGCGGGTATTTTAATTTACAAAACCAGGCAATAACTATCTTTGTAAAAATCATTTTAGTATCTATATTTTCTTTATATTAACACGTGAAGAAAATCCTTGGTACCTCTTTTTATTATAAATAGGAATAAACTCACACATCCCACACACGGCTGTCTGATCCTAAATTTTTTAGCCAGTTGAAAGCTAAATTTAGCAGCGAGTAACATTGGCTAGTTTTAACTGCGATAACAGACATTTACGGGAGCGAAGCCGTCAAAAGATAGGATCACATGGGATTAAATAATGTGGGCCCCCTTTTGACGGCTTTGAACGACCAAATTAACCCACGCATTGAACATAATCTCTTGAAATATAGATACGAAAACATATTTTTGAAAGACGGTTAAATATCATATCGAAGCAATAAAAAGGTTAATTAAAATTGTATGCAATACATTGCTGGGTCATTATTATCAAGTCATAATTCTTTTCTTTTCTTTAAAAAGACAACTCCCGCATTAGGAATATAGCCTGTGTCGGGGGGGACTTTACAAACATACATGAAACGGACACAAAGAACACCCCGACTCAGAACAACAATTTGTGAATCACTCAAAGTGTCGTCCCATGTGGGGATCGGAACCACAACACTCAGCGCAGTAGTAAACGGCGTGGCGACCACTTAAACCACTACGCCATCCGTGCAGTTTATCCGTAATTCTTTGTTTCTCGTCCAACAATCGACTGATGTTATAAGTGAAGAACGAAAGACTGTTGAGTTGTCTCGCATACAATACGCTTATGGGAACTAGTAGAGTCAGCAAAATAAACTTTTGTTTATTTTGTTGTTGTGTTTTATTTTATAGGAAGCTGTAAATATTTAGTTATACACACGTCTTTATCCCTGAAGAGGGAGACCGAGGTGTCTTAAACACGGCACCAGGGACTTAATTTCTAGGGTATACCTGGTTCCCCGGCTATGAGTACCCGAGACGGCCGGCGGTTTTAGTCGGTTCGAGTCCGACATGCCACCGATAGGTGGTATCCGAGGGGATTTCCGCACGGAAAAAAAAAGTGTCTTAAACACCAAATTTTTGCTGATTGTTTTTTTTAAAGACGACTTCCGTACTAGGAATATATCCTGTGTAGCGGCGGACTTAACAATCATGAAATTATCAATCATTAAAAATCATAAATCGTGAAACGGACACAAAGAATACCCAGACTCAGACCAACAATTTGTAGATCACACTTTGTCCCATGTTTTGATAAAACCCACAACGCATGGGGAAGCGGCGAGGTGACCGTCTAAACCACTAAGCCATCCGTGTACTCAAATTATCAACGTTTTGTATAAAATACTAGCCCGTCTCCGTAATTGACCTGCGTTTTATGGTCTCCGCGCACAAAGGCCGTACCGTAATGTCACATAGCATCTAACCTTCCTCTCTGAATACTCTATTCATACCACTACCTCATCCGTGCAGTCAAGACTGTAATTCTATACCCACTTACGTAATATTATCAATCCTGCGGTTGCCAACCTGGTATCCTTTGGTTTCGTCCCTAGTGATCCTGACTTCTGAGTGGGGTCAATTCTCACCAGAACAAATTATTGTGTGATAAATACTATCATTTGTGCCATTTCTGGGTGTAATTGTTCTATTTATGGGTGTATTTAGAAATGTATGTTCATCAGCAGTCTGATTACTGTCTAGTTTGGATTTGGGCTGCCTTGAGATATGTGTTAAATAGTCAAGTAATGCCTCGACTGGCTGATTGATTCATCTGTTCACGCACCCAGCGCATGAATCGTGACCCTCGCAGGGAGCCCCTCGCGCGCATTAAGTTTAACCAACATTGTACTGTTTCATTTCATATTATAGTGTTATACAGTCCACCTATGTTTTCTTTAACCAAAGAAGAAGCCTAAACACATCAATGCAGAGCCGCTGCAGCTATGACTTGAAAGAACAATGGCGAATTCGTAGTTGAGTATAATTTGAGCGTCTTAAAATGTCATTAGGAAACTAATTCTAGCAAATATCGTTTTTTGAAACTATCATATAAGTCAGTAAAACCCATGGAAAAGAAAGAAAAATCGAATAAGATTATTTGATTTTTTAATTTCTTTATCATTAGTGTTACCATTTTACAGCCATTTTTTTCAAAGTGTCGTAAAAAGGTGTTTACTTGATAGTAATATGGTAATCAGATAATAGTTTTATAAGTCTAAGTACTGAATCAATAAAGAATATAGTTTGTGGTGAATTATTAAACGCTTTATTTACGTATTTGAAAACCATGTAGTGGAATATAAGGAAGTAAAAAATAAATTAAGTGGCAACTGCAAGCTGCTTAATTAAATTTTTTTGACAACTCTTGACAGACGTTTGCGCTCTGTGTTTAAATTTAAAGACTAAACGTCTAACGCGATAGGCGGCGAATGGGTGCCGCCGATTATATTAGTTTAGATTTACAATTTACAATGCATTACATGTTGAAATATGTAATAAATTAAGTAAAAGGAATATACTCTTTGGATATTGTATATGCAGATGTACATAAGTATAAGATGATTATTTCATGCATCAGACACATTAAAAGTGACATAAAAATATAACCTACGAAAGTTCTGCAGCTAGTGGACTATAATAATTCTTCATTTTCTTTTTTTCTTTTATTTAAATGGCATACATAAAGTTATACTTATTAAAAACCAATTTGAAAAGTCGATATCCCTAGACATATTTATAAAATAAAGGAAATATTATGCAGCTATGTCTTAAAAGACTTTTGTCTGTAAACTTTTTTAAAAAGAGTCCACAGATAAAACAAATGCTGTGCGTAACTAAAAAATCAAATGCTAATTGTTTTACACATAGATTCAAAAAAAAATTGCCGAATTTTTTAAAACATTTTTTTTAAAACAAGACTGCAATTTGATTCCAAATATATTTTTTTATGGAGACCCGCCATTGTTCTTTTGGCAGCTGATGCTTTTATGTTGTAAGCACTCACTAAGAAAAGATTTTCCGAAAGTTCACACCTAATTATGTTAAATAAGGGATGAACGGTTAATTTCAAAGGTAGAAACAATCATGAGGGCAATATGTAGTTATTTTAATATTATTGTAGGTAGGCCGAAGCAAAGAAAACCTGTTCAGGTGGAGATTCATAGATGACTCTGCCCTGGAGTGTAAATGTGGTCTTGCCCCACAAACTATGGGGCACTTGATATCGTGTCCAGCCTGTCCTGTTACTTGCACATCACATGAACTGATGGAGGCTACTGAAAGTGCCGTACTCGTCGCCAAATTTTGGGCCGACTCAATTTGAATTGTCATCGACACGCTAAGAAGAATATTATTGTTGCTGACGGTACGTCGCGTAGATTGCACCGATTGCACGCGACGTGTATACAAACGGCTGGAGTGCAATGTTTCTGCATAGCTGTACAGTCCGAGGTCGTTGCCTCTCGCCGAGAACTCTGTCAGGAGGACGTGAGGATAAACACAGATTTATATTACGTATGTCACGTATTTAGATCAATAGGTATACTGTTTAAAACATAGGAATTGTTATTTAAATACATATCTATGTGGAGATTACTGGTACGATTACTGTTTTGTGTTTAATGTGTGTTACAGTGAAAATAAATTGTTCTGTAAGGAATCATAGATAATGCTATGTGTCCTAGAGTAGCTAGATATATCTATTTATTTAGAGATATTAAAGACTAGCTGGTGCCCGAGACTTCGTTCGCGTGGAATTTGAAAAGTTTTAAATAGGCAATTCAGAGGAAAAATAGCCTATGTTACTCCTTATATAGACAGCTACCTTTTAGTAAAATATTATTAAAATCGGTCCAACCGCATGAAGATTACCCGAAACATTCAGACACACAAACAAAAAACTGGTTTTTAGCCATAGGTATCGTGTGAGCATGAAAAAACCTATTATTTTCACATTACAAACAGACACTTCAATTTTATTTATTTGTATCGAGTACAGATTAGGTTTTATCCGCACCATCTGTCATTACTTAATCAAAGACGAAACTTGTACTGCGACCTACTATTGTATCAAAAGGCATAATTCCAGAGTGTTAAGTATAGAGTCATAGACTAGAGTTAACCATAGAATACAATGCGATTATAGAATGTGAAATGTCAACATCGAACGCTATAGGTTACTGGAGTAATCCTTACCCAATAATACTTAGTACTTGGCCTTTTCGTCATGTTTTTTTTTAATGTAACCACCGTCTTCGATACAGAAAAAGGAATTACATTTTATTCTTTGTTCTGTGGTCTTCTGAGCTAGGAAAGTTAATTCGAATGGTATCCCGGAAAATCATTGAGTTAACGATCATTAATTCCGTGTCTGTGTCTATTTAAAAATACATAATGTGTTAACCAGCAGTCTGGTTACCGCAGTACACTTTCTGCCTAGTTTGGGATCAGATGACCGCGTGTCCGCGATGTCCGTGTAGTGGACGGATTAAGAACACAGAATGTCACCACCCCTATTCATCCCGTGTCGTAAGAGCCGACTAAGGGAGAAAACTACGCAGGACAATAACACTGTAGAGAGAAGGAAAACAAACCCTATACTAACCCGTCTGGCCAGCGTGGTACAGTAGGCCAAAACCTCCTTTCTAAGGAGAGGTCTATGTCCAGCAGTGAACTATTAAAGGCTGTTGATGTGATGATGTGACCGCGTGTGACGTATCTCAAGTTATTATACATTTTTTATTATTATTTACCTGTGTTTTAAAACTCCTACTACAAACTGTACCTAATTTGCCTAGATAGCAGTCAGTCCTATATCCCACATTATAATTACCAAACCAACATAATGGTGTCTAGTGCATGTTCAAAACTACATTGTTAAAAACAATACTTTTTATTTTTTTTAGATTCTATTGCACAGTACTGG